GTGAATTTTGGTAACACTACTGATTAAGAATATTATATGTATTACTCTTATAGCCTTTTTAAGTCCTATTCTTATTGTGAGATCATATATAATAAGTAAAAGGTTCTCAACACTACGTATTCATAAGTATTGGTTAATAAAAAAATCAATCATAAGAAATAATTTGCAGAAAGTTTTACAAATCACATGTTCAATTGTATAATGTTTAATTATTAACTATTAGTAAATTTCGGATAAGCCACTGTTGAAGTACTATTGGCTTTTTCTTAGTAAATATAAATAAAATTGCTAAGCCATTGTTGAAGTACTGTTGGCTTTTTCTTAGTAAATATATATAAAATCGCTAAGCCACTGTTAAAGTACTATTGGCTTTTTCTTAGTAAATATATATTAGTGATTTGAACTGGTTAGGCTAGAATTGGTTAACCGACCTGAATCGAATAAATTTCGGGTAACCAGTTGATTAAATTCTTAATCGGTTGACCTGTACAACCAGTTGAGAATCGGTAATCGGATAAAAAGATTAAGAATTCTGAAAAGGTCAAAAATTTGAGTAAAGCTCTGAGACTTTCTGAAGGTAAAGTGTGAAGTAAATCTTAACCAGTTGAATCAGTTGGCATAAAATATTTCGGTTCAGTTAACCGATTAAGAAAAATTTTCTTGGTTCAAGTCATTAATGTATATAAAATCGCTAAACCACTGTTGAAGTACTGTTGGCTTTTTCTATATAAAATCGCTAAGCCACTATTGAAGAACTGTTCCCCAGTCATATAATTAGGGTTGTGATTAGTGATAGGACTTAAAAATTAAAAATTCAAATTTTCACATACTGTGTTCTATTGAAAAAAATTAATTATTTATAAATTATTAAATACAACAATTAAGTATCACCTATTTTTAACAATTGTGTCCCATTACTAGTTGTGATACAGTATAATTAGTGATGGGACTAACCAGAGTTAAAAAAGGAGGCAGTTTAATTGTCATGTACTATAGCATATAAAAAACTTATATAAAATTAATTTTTTAAATGGTCATAGTGTGTGTTAATTAATCAACCTTCTTTTTTAACCCTGATTAGTCCTATCACTAAGTATAATATGTAAGTACTGTTATTAACCATTATCACAAAAATATATATTATACCGTATAATGATCTGTCAACCACGTGACTAGTCTTGCTCAAGAGAATTTGCATAATAATTTAATTCTTCGAATATGATAACTTGTAGAGATTTTACATAAGAAAAAATAAGGTAATGTTAGTGTTTGTTATGTCTTACATGCTTACTTAAAAGTTTTATATAAAGTTTAGATACTCCTTTTAATTTTTCTATTTTATTATACTTCTATATATTAAAAATGGTTGAATGGACTGATGCACAAATTTACATATTAATTAATAAGAAAAAAGACAGAAATACTGAATACTATAATATCATTTCTCGTAACCGCATCGGATTTTGGGAGAGTATTGCGAAAAAAATTAACCAACAATATAATACAAATTTCAATGGATATCAGTACAAAGATAAGTTCATGAATCTTGTAAGAGATTTCCATGTAAGTACATCAGACTTTATTTATGCATTAATTGTATATCATTGGTATGTAAAAATTAAGGATCACATAGATATTTTTTATTAGCTGGTGTGTGACTTTATGGTTGGAAATAGTAAGAAGAAAAGAAGTAGGACTGGTAAGCATTATTTCAATGAATTTTGTACATGCTTTTGGGAAAGACTGGGTAAGTTGGCCTGTGCATTTTATGCATCATAATCAATTACATCTTCTGTCATTTAGTTTTCTATCTGATGATGTGCTGGTTTTTTTAGTTATTCTATTTGATCAGATCAGGAACACAAACTTATCAATACAAAAAGGGTGAGAAAGATGTGGGAACCATACACCACCCTCTTTATATGAAGAGGTTACTACTATGTTAAATTGACAAGTTTCTTTTAATAGGCAAAGAAGTTGGGAACAGTCCTCAGTTAATAATGCTAATGGTGTTAATGATGCTAACAGTGTTAATAATGCTAACAGTATTAATAATGCTAATGGTGTCAATAATGCTAATGGTGTTAATAATACTAATGCCAATAGTGTTAGCCATGCTAGTCTGAGTGGAGAGAATTAGTGACTATGCATTTGCTAATTTATTTGTTTGCATCTTTTTGTAATAGTATAATTGTCAATAAAAAATAAAAATTTGCCTCAGTTATATCATCAGTGTAGTCATATATAATAGAAAAATTTTCCATATATTCTATCATTATGGGTTTTGAGCTCACATGATTTTTTATTTGGTTGGAGTTCTAAAATCTAACACATTTAGAAGCAAACTGGTCTTTCAGATCTTAGCTTCCGAAATTATAATACATTGCCATATATAGTAGTACTAAAAATGGTGACCTGTTACTACAGCACTGGATTACTATATCGATATGTGAATTATGCAAAGTCAAATTACATAGCAGATTATGCATTAAGTATGACACATCATATTTGTAGCAATGTTACCCAAACTATTTGGAACGTCCCAAACTATGTGATGATTAGCATCACATGATTTCAGCAATAACAATAAGAAGGTAAATACTTCATGTGATATTATTCATCACATAGTTTAGAACGTCCCAAATAGTTTGAGTAACATCACTACATATTTGGTATCAGAGCTTAAAATCCTATAGTAATTTGCCAGCTTGCAGCCTATTGTTTGATGTGTTCTTCTTGATTCATCTTATTGTTTACTATACCAGCCAATTATACTATATATCAAGAGTGATATTTTTGAATAGCTAGCATCAATATAGTCTTTTAAGCCCTGTTTGATGTTCGAATTTTTTATATCCATATCAGGGTTATTATTCCTAGAAACTACACTGGTAAAAAAATTCTGAATCAACATATTACATAAATAATGAAGTGCATTATGGCTATTCTAAATTTGTAAAGTACCCTGTATAACCAAAATGACAAAATATCATGTTCAATAATTGTAATATCAAATTTAGTAAATATGTAATACCAGGAACAGAGTAATGAAATTATGAAGTGTATAGTTATACAGAATCTGAAATATTATTGGATAACAGTAAGATACATATAGAATACCAGGAACTAAGTTTTATTGTATAGCATAACATGTAGTATATAGTTATATGGCATTTCAATGTGCATGTGTATGCAAAATCTTCGATCCAATTGGTTTATGAAGTGGGCAGTTTAAAATGCCCTTAAGCTTCATGGGTGGCTGCTTCATGTGGCTTTGTTGGTCGTAAAAATATTATTTGATTTGATGATCTGATGCTATAATTGGATGTTAACAATGTTATCCAACCTATTTGGGATGTTCCAAACTATGTAATGAATAGCATCATATCATTTTAGCAATAACAGTAAGATGAATACCTCATGCGATATTATTCATTACATAGTTTGGTAATATTGCTACTAGAAGTATCAGTATGAATTGAACCAGACCTCAAAGTAGGATGAGTAGGGCATCCAGAATTATGTAATTTGGCTGGTTAATTATGTGATAGATGCGATATAATTTGATCTATTTTAGTAATTTTCTTCAGAATCTAATTAAAAAATTTTCCTTCATCTTGCTTGTATTTTATATTTGTTCGTAATCTAAACCAGACCCTTGTGGAATTAAGATTGCAACTACTGAACAGGATGGGTACTACTGAGTAAGATCAGTAGTATAAGTGCCACAAATAGTATTAGTATGTACTACTTGATGATGTCTCACTGCCTAAGGGTGAAGTAATTAGAGTTATAACTAAAAGTCCTAATCCTTGAAAATCTGAATTAAATTCGTATGACTTTATTTTTGTTCACAATTTCTATTCCTGGTTTTGTGCGATGATGTCATGCATCTATCTAGTCAATTGTCTATTAGCAATTATCATAGCAAGTAATAAAGTGATGGGCGATTGTTATTAATTTATAATTATGGTGCAGAATTTGGTAAACATGAAATTGTATCACCAAATAAATGTGATCATTAGTTAATTCGTGTTGAATAATTATGGTGCCGAATTAGCAAACATGCAATCGTTATAATTGTTAGGTCATGTTTAATATAATGCTGAATCATATTGCTTCGTGTTAAATTGTTATATGCTAAGCCAATAAAATAATTTCCAATCTTTTACTTTTTTTCTTAAAACATTGAAAAAAATTTCTTTATACAAATAAAAATTATTTACCTACTATATAATCACTATGTTGTTGCAAAATGTTCCCATTATTTTATCGAAAGCCTCCAAGAGAAATTTGCGTAGAAAAGAATATCATGCTATAAAAAAAGTCAAAATTGGAAAGCCTGATAGTTTAATCATTAAAGAGAGTAATTCTACACCCAGTACTAATGCTAATCAGATCAAAGAAAAAATGAACATATTTTATAATTCTCTAAAGATATGTAACAATCTTTTATCACTTTTAGTTTTATAGTATAGTCTTCTTTAGGGGCAGTTATTGCCTTTCGAGGCAGGCCTAGGATCTGACTGTTCCCTCCCTATTATTATAGAGGGCATGATCGTTGAATCACAATTGTCTTATTAGCAAGAAAAGGAAGACCGAATGAGCTTCCCATTTAACGCTGAGCTATGAGACAAAAACTGAATCAAATGTATCCACCTCGAAATTTTATTATAATCCAACTTCATAGCAAGACATTACACATCATATACCAATTTAGTAATCTTTTGAATATATATTCTTTAGTATAAGACCCAATCAAAGACCTGTTGTTCGACAAAAAGTGAAACTCATAAATATATTCGAACTTGATGGATATTGAAAGACTTCCTTCCTAAAAATCTTAAATTGACCAAAGTTTCATGACCTTATATATTGTCTGATCTAGAATTTACCTTTATCAAAAAGTTCTTAGAAAAAAGAGAACAGCAACTATTACGAAATGATTTATTAGTAATGGATGCAATGGGTCCAAATAACAACATAGCTAACTCTTTACCTCTTCAAACAATTCAACCAATACTTACTAATAACTTTGAAATACCAACACACTACATGGCTTTACTAGAGTCTGAAATCTTTAGTAATAACAGTTCTTTAAATTCATCATCTGTGGTTTGAAAAGAGTTCAGATTATGGGCATGTTTTCCAAAGATTCCGAATTTTAATAAATGCTTTCATCATTACTGTTGTCGTCTTTGGTCAAAAGTAAAGCATGCACATCAAGAAGCTCAGGAAAAAATGCAGAAAGAGTATAATATCTCAGAAACATTTAGGCAAACCTTAAAGTATAAACTCAATGTAGCAGAAAAAAATACAAAAGATGTGGCTACAGGTAAGAAATTTGAGGGCTACTATCATGTTTTTAATTCACAGTGTTTTAGGAATTCTTTCGACAAGATAGTAGTAGACTTTTTCGATCTAGTTAAATCTACAGTTAAAGAATATACTATAGTGGTTGTAGATAAATATTATAACTATAACCTTAATAAAGATAATAAATTGCATCAATCTAAAGAATTTAAGGAGAAGTTGGTAGAACATTTTGAAGCCTTTATAGGCAATAACAATGAGCCCTATATGACCACAAATACAGCATCAAACCATTGCTCAGAACATTAGAAATGTGTTCAAGAGCTGATTAGTAGACTTCAACCACTATCTAATGTGGTTAATAGTTATTTTCAGAAAACTTATCTAGCTCTGTATACAAAAATAGCAAAGCTTGATCTTGGTCCAAATGTTTCTAAGTCTTTCAGTGCTTTTCCAACAATTGTAATAAACTTTAATATTATTAGTCAATTTCATCATGATTTAAAAGATCACTGAAATACACTTTGTGTAGTGTGCCCACTTGGGTCATTCAAAGATAGGCAATTGGTATTCTCTAAGTTAAAGCTAATAATTCATGCAAAGCAGAGACAAGCTATAGCTTTTAGATCAAATATTTTGGTCTATAGTAATCTTCTGGTTATTTCTGGTATTCACTATAGTGTCGTTTTCTTTATACATGCAACATTAATCAAGCAAAATAGAAAATTTGGTACTCTATTTAGTGATTCCGATATTGATACAGATATAAGTATGAATGTTAAAAATAAAAAAGCTAGAGTATCAGTAGAACTGGCACAGCCAAAAAATCATGCCATACAGGATAGGAAGCTTTCCAAATCTTTAAAGCAGTCTTTAAAAATGAATAATTCATGGTAAAGCTGTCTTGGTAAGTGTAATTGCTATATTAAAAATTCATTATTCAAACTTAATATTTATGCTTGCTCCTACTTATTTAAGATCTTGAGCCTGCAAGAAAAGGTTTACCTGCGAAATACAAAAATAATTAGCATTAGATTATAATTAGTTTACTTTTTTGTATATTTTGAGTACTTAAAAAATAAATATCACAATTCATTAGTATATAGTTAATAAAATCTAATATGTCTAGTATATATTATGGGTTCTATATATTGTTAT